ATTTCAAGAGGTAGCATATAATCAAGACCCAATGGTACCTAAGGAAGAAGTCCAATGTACACTGGAGGCACTGGCAAAGAACAGGCTCTAGGAACCAATGGAATGCAAATTAAAATCTTTCAACAAACTGATGGAGCATTGGAGGCACTCACTCATCTACATCAAGAAATTTGGAAAACAAGTATGTAGTCAACTGATTGGAACACATAATTATTTGTGCCCATTACAAAGAGAGGTAACCCAACTGAATTCAGAAACCATCAGCCAATACCATTAATATCACACACAAGTAAAATTTTGCTAAGATAATTCAAAAACTGCTGCAAGAGTACATTGACAGGGAACTGCCAGAGGTTCAAGGCAGAATCAGAGAAGGACATGGACATCAGGTGGGTCTTTGCTGGATGCAGAGACTATCAGAAAGATGTTTACCTGTGTTTTATTGACTTTATTGACAAATGCTTTCAACTTGTGGATCATGACAAGCTATGGACAACACTGCGTAAAATGAGTATTCTGGAAGACTAAATTGTACTCATGAGGAACATGTACAGAGACCGAAAGGCCTTCATTCGAACAGAACATGAGGACACTGGTTTAAAATCAGGAAAAGTGTGTGCCAGCCAGTGTTGTATCCTTTCACTATACTTATTCATTCTGTATGCTGAGCAAATAATCCAAGTACTGAATTATATGAAGAACATAGCATCAGGATTGGAGGAACACTCACTAACAACCTGTGATATGCAGATAATACAACCTTGCTTGCTGAAACTGAAAAGGACTTAAAATACTTACTGATGAAGATCAAAGACCACAGCCTTCAATATTTGCTGCACCTCAATGTAAAGAAAACAAAAATCCTCACCACTGGAGTAGTAATTAACAACATGATGTTGTTGTTAAGTGCCATCGAGTCACTTCCGGCTCATAGCAACCCTGTATAGTGTTTCCAAGGAGTGACTGGTGAGCTTGAACCACCAACCTTGCAGTTCAAATGGCTTTGCAGTCTGGTGCATTAACCCACAGCGCCACAACATGATAGATGGAGAAAATATTGAAATTGTCAGGCATCATTTTGCTTGGACCCACCATCAACACTCATGGAAGCAGCAGCCAAAAAAATCAAACTATGTATTGCATCAGGTAAATCTGCTGCACAAGACCTATTTAAAGTGTTGAAGATCAAAGATGTCAGCTTGAGGATTAAAGTACACCTGATCAAGCTATGATATTTTCAATAGCTTCATATATGCAGGTCAATGAATTAAAAAGACTGTAGAAGAATTGATGCATTTGAGTTATGATATTGATGAAGAATATTAAAGGTACCATTGACTGCCAGAAGAACAAGTAAATCTATGTTGGAAGAAGTACAGCCAGAATGCTTCTTAGAAGCCAAGATGGCCAGACTTTGTCTCTCATACTTCAGACATGTTGTCATCAGGGACCAGTCCCTGGAGAAGGACATCATGCTGGTAAAGTGGAGGGACAGTGTAAAGAGGGAGACCCCCAACCAGATGCATTGGTACAGTGGCAGTAACAGTGGACTCAAGTGTAGCAGCAATTGTAAGGATGACATAGGACTGGGCAGTGTTTCCTTCTGTTGTATATAGGATTGCTATGTGTCAGAACCAACTTGATGGAACTTAACAACAACAATAGAAATGCTCAACAAACATATGCAACGACTAAAGTGTTGATTTTCTATGACAAGAAATTTGGAAGACAGATGTTTGGTCAACAGACCCAAAGAAATTTTGTTCGTGCCCATTACTAAGTTTGGTGATCCAACACAATGGATCAATATCATTAAGATCATACACAAGCAAATTTTGCTGAAGAAACTTTAGGAACGGTTAGGACAGGAGACTGCCAGAAATTCAAGTCAGATTAAGAATAGGAAGGAGGGGTATCACTGCTGATGTCAAATAGATCTTGGTTGAAAGCAGAGAATATCAGGAAGATGTTTATCTGTGTTCTTCATTTGACTATGCAAAGACATTCAATTGCATAGATCATACATAGCAAGCTATGGACAACATTGTAAAGAACACTTAACTGTGCTCATGAGGAGTCTGAACATAGATAAAGAGGCAGTCTACTGATAGAACAAAGGTGTATTGTGTGGTTTAAAAGCAGGAATGGTGTGTGCCAGAATTATATCTTTTCACCATACTTATTCTATCTGTATGCTGAGCAAATAATATTAGAAGTTGGACTATACAAATAAGAATTCGACATTAGAATTGGAAGAACACTATTTAACATTCTGTAATATGCAGAACCACACCACACTAGTTTCCCAAAGTGAAAAGGACTTAAAGTACTTACTGGTGAAGATAAGTATGGGTTATACTTCAATATAAAGAACACAAACCAATAAGCAATATAATGATAAATGTAAAAAAGACTGAAGTTGTCAAGGATTTTATTTTACTTAGATCCACAATCAATGCCCATGGAAGCAGCAATCAAAAATCAATACAATGTATTTACTGTACTGAGTAAATCTGTTGCAGAAGACCTCTTAAAAAGTACTCAAAGCAAAGATGTCATTTTGATGACTTAGGTGTGCCTGGGCCAAATCATGGTATTTTTAATCATCTCATAAAAGCTGAACAATGACTAAGGAAAACAGAAGAGTTGATGCCTTTGAATCATGGTGTTGGCAAAGAATATTAAATATACCATAGGCTGCCAGAAAAACAAACTAATCTGTCTTAGATGAAGTACAACCAGAATGCTCTTTGAATGGTAAGACTTTATCTCATGATTTTAGACAGGTAGTCAGGAGGTACCAGTCCTGGTGATGGACATCATGGTAAAGCAGTGGATCAGAGAAAAAGAGGAAGACCCTCAGTGAGGTGGAGTAACATAGTAACTACAACAATGGGCTAAAATATAGTACCAACTGTTAAAACGGCACAGAACTGAGCCTATTTTTATATACGTCCTGCCATAAATAGGGTCGCTATGAGTTGGAACAGACACAATGGCACCTAACAACAGCAACAATCTAGTCAAATTCATTTTAAAGTGATAGTCATCATAAAATTTTTTATCTACAAAATGAACTCTAGCCTCCAAATGTGATGCAGTAAGAACACAAATTCATATAAGAAGCACTTACCAAAAATATTAAACCTGAATCTGGTCATGGGGAAATTATCAGGCAAAGTCATAATATCTAACAGATTTCAAGAAGATCCTTGCCATGTAAAGAGAAAATAACAACAACAACAACAAAAAAA